ACTCAAGTCAGGCTTCCCGCTCCAGACACGAAGCCTTTCCTATGTAGTTCATGTAGCATTGAGTAGGCTGCCCATCTATTTTATTCCTAGAGACACTGTAATCCACTAGTCACTGCCAAAGACCTTTGTGGGCCCAAACATTCTCTGCTTTGTCCTCTGCTGCCCATTATGGGACACAAGTCAACCCTGACTACTGTGAGATACCGCTGGACCTCACGTCAGGAGCTCCCACCATCATAAACAGCATACAGGGAACAGAGATTGTCAAGGATAGAAGTCTCCTCTCGGAAATTTGTTTCTCTGTGCTTTCATGAAAAGTATGTCTTCTGTGCACTCTTGAAGGATGCAGTAGGTGGGTGGGTGTGCAAGTTGCACACACTAAATCCAGTCCAATATTCCTATTGTCCTAGGCCTTCAGATTTCAGATTCTTTCCTCATTATGCCAGGAAAGTTCTAGCCATCTTAACCTTATTAAATATAGGCCACCACTGAGTCCAAGTTTCAGTAAACCAAATCTGAGTTAATGCTTTAGATTCAGAATATCTTGAGAACACAGCCAAATCAATAAATTTTATCTGATTTAGTGTTACAGTCTCTCCTCCCTGGCCTAACCTATTTACAATCCATTCTCACACATACTCCTCCTTCCCAATGATACAAATTAGCAAAACTGTGCAATTCTTTTAGAGGGTAGGCTATATTTTAGAGGGTAGGTTATATTTTGTCCCTGTCCTTAGGCCTCATAGCAATAGAGTACAGAGATAGGTCTTGAGTATAGACATCCTTTGTAAAGCAATTACCCTAGGCAAGGTTATTACAGGACCTTCAAGCAAGGGAAGGCCAGTTTTCTCACACACAGAAAGCAGGCTACTTCCAACAACAAGGGAGAGTCCGAATGACTGGGGTTTCAAGATTCTCAGCTTTATCCAAGTCAATTGAGACGTCCCTAGTCTAAGTCTAAAAGCTCTACTTCTTTCCACACAGTGTCCTAAGTGAGACATCAACAAGTCTATGTAATTCTATTACCAGCACAATTAAAACTGTGTTCAGTGTTTAGTTCCATGGCTACATAAAATAAAGGGCTTTAGAACCACAGAACCTCCAATTCTCTAAGACTCGACCTGGGTGTTTTAAGATCTTAGCTGGTCATTTTCTTTCGCTAAGGGCTCCAGTGATCTCAGAAGCAACCACCCCACCAATCCTCAGTACTTGTAGTCAAAAAGTGCTTTAGCCACCCGGTCCCTCAAAGCACTTAATTTCAGAAATCATTTTATCACAATCAACCAGAGATAGTCATTTAATGAACTGTGATGCCAATACATGCCATGGATTACTAGGATCTTTTGTCTCATTAACAAAGAGCTAAAGGTATGACCAACGCCATCTCTGAAGCCCGTCTTTGAGAGTTTCTCCCCCAGGATCCCAATCTTGGTAACAATTTCTTTATTAATATCTTTTGTAAGTCCAATCAGGAGACCACAAGCACACCAGTTATTTTAACAGAGAGAATTGTTTTTAAGCTTACTTATTTATTTTGAGAGAGCAAGAAAGAGAGAGAATCTCAAGAAGCAGAGCCCAACACAAGGCTCGAACCTGAAAACTGTGAGATCATGACCAGAGCCAAAATAAAGACTCAGATGCTTAACCGACTGAGCCATCCCAGGCACCCCTGACAGAGAGAATTTAATATGAAGAATTGTTAACCAAATGTTAAAGAACTGAGAAAGCGGACAGTGGCTATCATAGAAGTAGTACCAGTAGGAAGAAGCTATCACTTTTAGAACAGCAAGAGAGGAAAGAGAATTACTACAGCTTAGAAATTTGGAGAAGGACCCCCATGGAGCTGGGGCTCAGATCTCAGGAAAGGTATTGATATCTTTGAAGGGCTGTGATAGGCGGTTCTAAAAGAGTGCAAAACTACAAACTGAGAACACAGGGGCCAACTGCTAATGGCAGAGTGGGGCACTATCACTGTGCTGCAACAGACAAGAACGAGACTCACACAGGAAACAGCAAGCCCTTGTGTCCGCTAGCCTTCCATTCTCCCTCCCCTGCCAGCAAAGCCTGCTAGGCAGCCAGCTAGCAAAGAAGAAATGTGGTTTAGAGGTTCTGCCCCAGATTCACATAACAGAATATAAAGAGGTGCAACAAAGCTGAGGGACAACAGCCTCATGATCTGTAGTCAAGAGGAAGCAGGGAGCAGCTGCAGCATCAGGGTCCCTCGTTATTTGAAACTGTTAAAAGATGTATGGCATTTTGGTCCCCTTTCTGCACAGTGCCTGGCACCTAGCAAGAGCCTAATAAATGTGAGCTAATGGAGCTCACGGAAGCCACCACCGAGTTAAACAGAAACACCATACTTCCAGTGGCATGATTTTTTGCCATTGCTGCTGGGATTCCAAAACTCAGATGTTCCTGTTCTTTCTCCACTCCCACACAGTGCAGGCAGACAAGGAGAACAGTAGAAAGAAGCAGTGAGAAAGAAAATCAGAGCAGTATTGAGATAACAGCCATTACCGTGAAGACACAAGACCAACAGGGATTATATATGGGGAGGTTAAAAAAAATGACACGGGAGGGGTGCCTGGGTGGCTCAGTCAGTTGAGCATCAAACTCTTGGTTTCGGCTCAGGTCATGATCTCACAGCTTTGTGGGCTTGAGCCCCACATCAGGCTCTGTGCTGGCAGTGCAGAGCCCACTCGGGATTCTCTCTCTCTCTCTCTCTTTCTCTCTCCGCCCTTCCCCTACTTACACTGTCTCTGTCTCTCTCAAAAATAAATAAATAAACTTTAAAAAGAAATAACATGGGTGAAAAGCACAGTAGTTTAATGGGTTTACCTTCTATCTGGGGTACTAATAGGAAGCTGATTTTAAGAGATCTAAATGGTTTTCTTTGTTTCTGCTCAATGAATCTGTTGCCTTGGCTTAGGCTGGCAAATAAACACTAGTAAAAAGTTGATCTACATGGGCAAAGCTAACCAAGGTACAGGGAACCGAGGCTCAAGATAATTGGTTAGGTCCAAATCAGAATGAAAGTGACTGGCACTTACATGGTCTTGTGGCCTCAGCAATGCATAGCCCAGACTTCCAAAAATTCTACAATTACCTGATCTTCTACCCTTCTGAAGTCATACCTCAGTGGAGTGGTTAGGCAATCATTAATCTTTCAAATCTTAAACTAGGCAGAGCCAGAATTTGAATCTAGGCCTGTCTGACTCTAAAGTCTGTCTCTTAACCACTATAAACATGAGGCTCCTGATTACCCTTACCCACAGATACCACTATCGTTAGCAACATGGTCCTCACTCATTTTCCTCTTCCCAATACTATAAATAGATATCTAAGATATCTAACTCATTGGCCTACTGAAAATTAAAATTTAAGGATATAATACAATGATCCACTAGTTACCTGTTTTCCTTCATGGAAGAAAATTACATTTCTTTAAAGGAATAATACTAACATTATAGTCATTAAGAAATCCTGTGTAAAGACTGCTTTTCTCACTTGGGCAACCAAGTTGTAATTCCAATTACAAACTTTCTTGAACAATAAATAGCAATAAAATTTGATGGGCCAAGAATAACAAATTGTGTAAGACTTGTCTTAATCTTCTCCTACCCAGAAACGAGGAATGTTGTGCTCTAATGCTGCCAGAGTGGGGAGCGGTATGGAAACGTTAAAACTGTGCTTAGTTTCTAAAGATGGCATATAGTTTCAGAAACTAAAAAGGGCTTGTCTCCAGGGTACCTGGGTGGCTCAGATGACTAAGCATCTGACTTCAGCTCAGGTCACGATCTCACAGTTTGTGGGTCTGAGCCCCACGTCAGGCTCTGTGCTGACAGCTCAGAGCCTGGAGCCTGCTTCAGATTCTGTGTCTCCCTCCCTCTCTCTGCCCCTCACCTGCAGGTTCTCTGTCTCTCTCTGTTTCACAAAAATAAATAAACGTTAAAAAAAGGAAGGGGGGGGGCTTTTTTCCTGTCTGTAAAGTAATCCCATATATGTGTTCACAGAGTATTTTAAAATTCATGTTACACAGGCTGAGCTAGTCACTAACACATTTCCTTTGCCCCTCTGCTCATGCTGTATCCCTGAAATGCCTTCTATACTCTACCACATACATGGTAAATAAACTCCATTTATTTCTCAAAATACTTACTCTTCAAAATCCAGCCCATGTTTCTCTCCTCAGTGGATGAATTAGTAAGATGGTTTCAACTAGCTGTATTTATAAGGCTTCTCTAAACGTGATACAAATGGCATCTCCTCAAGAGAGAAATTTTAGAATCCCTGAGCTCGAAGAACGGCTCCGGGATTATCTAACAGTCTATTCTCCTTGTCTCCAATGGGTAAACTGTCCCCACCTGTTAATGTAATTTACCTCAAAGGTCTTTTCCATCTCTAAAAGTGTGACTTCACAACTCTTTCGACTAAATATTACTTCGAAAGGCGTGGAATTTATCTAGAAACCATTAAATTCGCAAACGATGTTTGTAACAGAGTTCAGTTATAAATTACGCCGAAAGATCTGAGGCCAAGTGCTCAGTTATGGTCAGAACAACAATCAACTGTGTTTACTGTCCACGTCTGTGCACTGTAGCTCAGGTGACTGATTCACTCTGGGAACACAGTAGGCCCCGATCCGGGACAGAGGCCTGCTGGACAAGCACTCTATCCCAACACCAGGACCAGGCCCTCCCCGATTGCTTTATCTCCTAGAAACAAAGCTGGGTAAAATACCTCAATCCGGCACCACCCCCAGATGCCAGCAGCGACAGCGACGGCACAGTGATGCAGGGCAGTGATGCAGGTGCGCTCCGCACCTAATTTTTCTCCAGGAGCCAGGAGGAGTTCTCGGCACCAGCTCCCCCACAGCCCCAGGCGCCCCAGCCCCCCAGTATCCCCGGCTCCGAGGCCCGCCCCCGCCCCGCTGCTCTCCGCGACCCCACGCCCCAGAGGTCCGCCCCTGGGTCCCTTGTTTCTAACTTTGGGGCACTTACCATCCCAATACCAGGCCAGTGGTCACAATGAAGCAGGTAAAGACCACCGCAATGTAGAAAAGCGGCGAATACTCATACAGCGTTACTAGAAACACCGCAGCCATCAGGAGGTCCTAAACTGAGCCAACTCAAGCCACCCAGCCCAGCCCACCCGGCCGGGGTAAAAGCCACTACGGCGCCCCGGAGCTGACAAACTTTGTGGATCCGCACTCGCCCGGGGTTCTCAGGCTAGTCGCCGGGGCAACCTCCCCGGCTGCGGGACCGGCGTGCCAATCACAACGACGCCTGCAGTGCTCGCCCCGCCTCTACGGCTTCTCTCCCGCGCTATTGGCTTCGCAGAGGGGCGGTGCCCGGCTCGACTCACCGGATTGGTACCCACGAGCGTCTGTGTGTCCTAGCGGTCAAGGCTTTTCTGCGGCAAATTTTAAATACGCAGCCGGGCCAGCCCTGTCCAAGGCTCGGGTAAGGTTTTCTGATGGCACAGAAAGGAGGCACAGAGCGAAATCCACGTCATAAAGTCTAAATTCCGCATATGAGATCCGAGGCAAATTTGGGAGGACGAGGAGAGCCGGCATCTTGTGTTCTACAAGGTGAAGTAACTGCACACCTGCTTTTATTTTATCTAGAAAAGTTACAGTTGTACGAACACCAGAAGGAGTCTCGCAAGCAGTTTACAAGCCTTGCCAGCCTTTTCAGGTTGGATTTCATGATAAAGGAAAATTAGCATTGCGTATCAAGATTCTCATAGAAGCGAATCAACTGTCCTCCCACATCCCCTTCCTTCCCTCCATTAGAATTAGATATTTGAATGTTTGTACTAATTTTTACTTTAATAATAATTCTAAATACGTATTATATATATATAATTTTTTGGGGTTTTGTTTATGTTTTTGTAAATGAGCAGAAGCCTTTTAAAGAAAGGAGCCAAATGCTCATCCCCTCTCCTCCTCCCCATACAGTTAGCCCCATCAAGGTAGCCTCTCTGGAAGTCTCTCACGCCTCCACTGACAGCTCATCGGTTTGTGTTTAGTCCTGAGGCCACCCCCAGTTACCATAGAGACAGGGAAACGTTATCTTTTCTTCTCAGCAGCAACTTCCCCTGCTACAAGTCAGGTTTTTTTTTATCAAGGAAGAAAGGGACAGAGGACCATGGGATGGATCACTGGTAGCCCCTCCACACTCCCAAATCACTAGTAAAATTAGTGCTGGAGAAAGACGAGTTAAATTTGTTCTAAGGGTTCACATATCTCTTGGCAAATGACCATGTATTATGTACTCTCTGGAATAGTGCTCTGTAAGAAACTCAGTTCAACAATATAATTTTTAACAACTACATATATGATTTGTGAAAGTATATAGTTTTATTTATGGTTGGATAACTTTTAAATATTTTTAAAATTTTTTTAAAGTTTATTTTTGTGAGAGAGAGGGAGTTGGGGTGGGGCAGAGAGAGAGAGAGAGAGAGAGAGAATCCCAAGCAGGCTCCATACCATCAGCACAGAGCCCCATGCAGGGCTCAAACTCATGAAATGGTGAGATCATGACCTGAGCTGGAAACGAGTCAAATGCTTAACTGGCTGAGCCACCCAGTCACCCCAATATTTTTTAATGTTTACTTTTGAGAGAGAGAAAGAGAGCCAGAATGTGAGTGGGGGAGGGGCAGAGAAAGAGGGAAACACAGAATCTGAAGCAGGCTCCAGCTGTCAACACAGAGCCAGATGTGGGGCTCAAACTCACAAGCATTGAGATCATGATGTGAGCCGAAGTGGGATGCTTAACTGAGCCACCCAGGTGCCCTACAATTTTTTATTAGCATAAATAACACTGCAGTGAACATTCATAAAGCTAAATCATTTCCATAGGTGAATTCTTAGAAGTAGAACTTTTAGTTCAAAAAGTATGTACATTTTAAGCCTTTGGAGAAGCAGTGTTCTCCAGAAACATTGTACTGATTTTTGCTCCCCTCTTTATCCTCAGTTTTGCAATCATTTGATATTGTCACTTAACAAAAATCTCAGCCAATGTGAAAGGCAATTTTATTGCAATAAAAAATAAAGAGTTTTTGTAATGAAAACAGGGAGTTCCAGTTGAAGTGGTATATTTAAAATATGCCTATAATTTTGCTCTCTCCCCAAACTCCATTAAAACCACAGTAAAAGGATTAAAAAAATAAATCAACAAAACCAGGAAATAAAATAAGAGCAGCATATATTGGAAGATGGAAAACAGCTGAATAAGGATAATTCGCTAACCAGGCCATGAAAGTCAAATCCCAAACCAGCAGTGGAGACAACTGAGATTGAACTTGATTTACACTGAAGAAGTCTCAAAAAGAACAGGAACTAACACAAATTTAATTCAAGCGTTTATTTCCCATGTTACAACCATTCAAACATGTCACTTTACTTCCAACATTGATTCTTTTAACGCACAATACACAATACACAGTACAGCCAAAAAAAATTTTTTTAACACGTATCTTTTATTTTTAAATACATATCTTATTTCATTCCACACCCCCAAATCCTCGATTGTCATGCTATATATTCTTGAGGATGAAGTCTCAAGTTCCTTGTTTGAACCACCTCTACACGACCTGACTAACCTCTTTCTTACTCATTCAGAAAATGTTGCGTGTCAGATATGTGCCAGATACTGTAGAAGGCATTAGGGATACAATAATAAGCCCAAAATGACATAGCTATGTTCTCATAGAATTTATCATCTAATGGAAAAGACTAACATTAACCAAAGAATCTTGAACAAAATATAAAGGCAAAATTACAATAAATGGTATTAAAACGATGTACATGTAGCTCTGAGGGCATATAATCGGGGAATGATGAAATATAAGGAAGATCAAGAAAGTCTTCCTTGAAAAACGGATGATTGAGCTGAGAGCTAATGGAGAGAGATGTACCAGGCAGAGGGACAGGAAGGGTGAAAGCATTTAGGGCAGAAGCTACAGCATATGCAAAGGCTCTGAGGTGAGAAAGATCATAGCACACCTGAGAAAATGAAAAGCCAATGTGACTAAAGCATGGAGAGTAAGAAGCATGCTATGAGCTAAAAAATAGAGATAAGTAGGGTCCAGACCATACACGAGTCTTGCTGTTTGAACTGCACAACCGTACTTGAGCAATGAGAAGCCACTGATATGATTGAAAAAGAGGCATGTTATGGACTGAATTGTGTCCCCCTAAAATTCATATGCTTAAAGTTCTAGTCCCTAGTGTGACTGTATTTGGAGAGAGGGCCTTTAAGGCAGTATGATTAAGTGAAGTCGTAAGGGAGGGATGCTAATTCAATAGGAGTAGTGTCCTTATTTTAAAAATAAAATAAAATAAAAAGAAAGAGACACCAGAGAGCTCTCTCTCTCTCTGTGCAGGTGTGTACAAAGAAAAGGCCATGTGGGACACAGTGAGATGGCAGTCCTGCCTGAAAACCAAGGAGAGAGCTCTCTCCTGAAAGCCTGCTAGCACCTTGATCTTGGGCTTTTAACCTCAAGAACTGTGGGAAAATTAATTTCGTTTGTTTTGGTATTTGGTCTGTGGTATTCTGTTATGGCAGCCAGGCAGACTAATATGGAGACTGACATTCTGTTTGCATTTTCGATCAAACCCTTCGGCTCCTGTGTAGAAAACTTACTGGAAAGAGGTTGGGATGGATATGAGTGAATATGGCAGATTCTTTTAAAAGTCCAGGCAAGAAGTACTGGGGACTCTGATTAGGATAGTGATGAGTGGATTATTAGTGCAGCGAAGTGGATTATTAGTTAGAAATTATCGCAACTGTAAGTGACCAAACAAACAAACACTCACCAGTATCTCACTGGAGATAGAAATGTATTTCTCTTTCAGACGACAGCCTAAAGGTAGGTTAATCCAGGACTGATATGGTGTCCACAGTGCAAGGGTCTCAGTAAGAGTGCACCGCGTGCAAGGGACTCAGGCTTCTATTTTGCTCCACCATGTGTAGCCCCATTCCAACAGTCACCTCCTGATTTAAGATGCTTGTTACAGCTTCAGCCACCGTTTCCATATTCTTGCCAGCAGGAAGGAGGAAAGAGAGGGAGAAGGAGAAAACACTTCACTCTAAGGAAACTCTAAGGATACATCCCTCATTCCATTTGCCGCAACTCAGCCTGGTGTCTACCTTTAACTGGAAGGGAGATTGGAAAATACAGTCTTTATTCAGGGTAGCTGCCTCTGCTATTGAACACTATTGCGGCTGTTCAAGATGGTGTAGAGCCAAATGCAAACCCTCTCCTTCTTCCTTAAAGGGAAAATGGACTACCAATTCCAGCCTCTTAAGGTTCTCCAATACCGTACCTATTTGGATGCTTTGCTACCACCCTGTCCAGCACCCATCCCTTTCCCATTCTGAGATTGCAGCCTGGAGGGGAAGCCAGAACAGGTTGGATCTGACCAAAGGCTGTACTTAGGCTCCTCCTTCTAGCACACTCCACCACTTTGGAAGGGGGGACTTCCTTCCTCTCCTTCCCATTTGGCAGATATGTGCCTTCTGTCACAGCCTCGGTTTCCTCTACCACATGGCATATCCTAAATGCCACTTTTAATTTTGACAGGGCCAGGATTTTGAAATATTAATAGAGCTTTAAACTTTGATAAAGCCATTCTCTGTAGCGTCTGGCTTTTTCTAGATTACTGCGTTTCTGGGGACTCAACAATCCCATTTTGGGAATCGAAAGCTGCCTGCTCCCTTTTGCATTCCCAGCATCACTGTTCTGTTTATTCTTTGAAGCTTATACATGCTTCTGACTGACCAAGGAGAAGGCTTCAGAAGAGAAATGCAAGAAAATATGAACGTGTTTTTAAAGATTATTATCTGCACTATATATTTTTCTTGGAGTTGCTAACCCTTTCGATTTTATATGGCCTTTCTCTAGCCCACATTATTCCTTTTATTTTTTTAATGTTTATCTATTTTTGAGAGAGAGAGACAGAGCATGAGTGGGGGAGGAGCAGAGGGAGAGGGAGACACAGAATCTGAAACTGGTTCCAGGCTCTGAGCTGTCAGCACAGCGCCTGACACGGGGCTCCAAGTCAGAACTATGAGATCATGACCTGAGCCGAAGTCGGTGCTCAACCAACTGAGCCACCCAGGCGCCCCAAGCCCACATTATTCCTTGGAAGGGCAAATTTATCTCTGTTTTGAAGACACCAGTAGGAGGAACGTAATAAGCGTCATAAT